GTGTAAACATTTCATTTCACAGAAGGTTCTGTTGTTATTTAATTTATGTATTATTGTTTGGTTTAATGCTGCGGAAACTTGGCGATTGAAATTTGAATTAGAAATGTAAATTTGTGGAGAGTTGATGCTGCGACGAGTAATTTTATCGAGTTTGAACGTGTTAAATTTTCGTTGAAAATATAAATTTAATTATTTGAGAAATAATTAACGCAGGTAACGAAGTTACCAGAGGTAGATTGATTAAGAGTGATAATAAAAATGCCGCCACGTTCGATTTCTTTTTTATCTTTGAAAATCAATAATACGACGAGTTCGTAACTGTTGCAATTCAATTAACTTCTTCCTCTTAATTACGATGAACAGTAACGAGAAAAACTGATTAATGAAGTAATTAATCGATGTTCATCGGAACGTATTGAAAAAAAGTACCTCGTCATTTCTGACTGACCCAGTTTCACTAAAAACACATCGCCTGACACACTTTATCTACCGAATCGTCGCTGAATTGAAACTTTGCGAGAAAGCTTGGGAATTATTCCTTTGTTGTACAGTGATCGACTTACTTGAAATCCTTTTAATTAAGTATATTACGTATAGAAAATTTATGAAAAAAAATTATTCCTACAGGCTTAAGAATGATTCATCAATTTCCTAATCCTTCCACTATAATCTTTCACAGAAAAGTATCTTCACTATGAAAAATCAATATTTCTTGTAATTTTTAAATCTTTTTTCTCCAACTTTTCACTTATTTTCGCTAATATTTATATTCAGGATGTAATCCGGATAATTTTAGTATTCGCTAATTTTTATTTTCTCCTGCAAAATATATCGAATATAAAAAATTCACTAGCTTCTTAATTTGCAACAGTCTGTCTCCAGTCTCTGTTCAAAAAACCATTCATTATCAACAAAAAGCACATAATTCTCTAATCTCCAAAATTTTCCTTCCACCAAAGAGCAAAATGAAGGGAAGTAATCAGCAACAGGATAGAACAAAATTCGCAACTTAAACCGATGCAACAGAGTACAATCCCAAAAACAGCTCCTTAACCCTTTCACTGCCTCAGATTTTAGCGCGCAAAGCGTTTTACAAAAATTAAAAATTGACGTTTTCAGATTTCTTCGACTAAATTAAAATAAAAGTGCTTAGATGTCAAAAATACAGGTGAAAGTAGAAATTTTCTAGCCAGCAGCAGTGAAAGGGCTAAGAAGCCCCCCGGAAAATCCACTCTACGTCGCATCCAAGGAAGAAAAAATGATCGAACGTCGACCGGAAGTTATCGCGCGGTCCTCACCAATAATTCGGTGGCCAGTAGGTTTGCCAATATCGCGACTCCCGTTCCTATTTGAATCTAGAAGAGGGAGTGTGTGCACCGGGTGCTATCGAAAGTTGACACGCGTGTATTCTCGCACAGGAGCCCGGACAACTGATGTACCCCGGCATTCACAACGTGCGCTACATCGCTTCCGATGCAGCCGGAAATCGAGCCGAATGCCATTTCTCGATACACGTACGAGGTAAATTTACGTAATGTGAGGGAATGCTGCGACGGGACAATCGATGATATCGAGCTACGACGACGTACGGCGAATATTTTCGCCGTCCCGAGTTTGCCGACGTAGCGAGTGGGTCAACCTGTTAGCGATGATAAGCTGTTACGATCGCCGTTTTCGTGCTTTTATTGGGTAATTTGAAATTTCGAATTTTTAATTGTTCTCCAAGTGATTACTCGAGGGGTGAAAAATTGTTCGTGCTAACGTAAAGTTTGTACAGTTCTTGGTAAGTTACTGTTGGAGAATTTGAGGTTCTGTTTGGGTCAATTTAGAAAACGACTTTCATTCTTGCCTAAAAAATTCGACATTTTGCATTACAGGACTTAATAATATTATAGAGTGGATGAATTTTGGATTAAGTGGATTGTAAGTGACGGAGAGAATGCTACTCTTATTTTAGTCGATTAATTTTGTTCAGAAAATCCACGACAGAAAATGTTTCAATATCGTTGTTATTTTTATTATTAGTTATTATATCAATTATATCAGTTACTATTTATGGTTCATCAGGCGGCTGAGAACGGAGTGCTGGCACACCTAATTTCAGATCTCGTTATTTAACTAAAATTTAAAAAAATTATAGAATTCTCTAAAATTTGGCTAAATGAAAAATGTTACATTTCAAATCACCAGAAGACACTTACTTTTCGTTAATCATAAAATTCTAGGATATTCGCTATTCCTTCGTTCTACTCAGAAAAATGGACCAAATATAAACATTGTTTAAAAAACAACCTCTTACAAGAATTATCCACAGTATTTTCTCTATTAAGCACTCTTTTCGTAAAATCAATAAAGATCTCCCAGCGGTGGGATATTTTAATCAACTCGAGCCGCGGTGTAATGGTTTAATAGATTCAACGGAGGCGATTCTCCTATTAAAATTTCCGAATAGACCGACCGCCTAATCGACGAAGTCGGTGTCCCGATAAGAAAAGAATTATGCTTTCGCCGGGATCCGCCGGAATTTTCGTCCTCGATAGCATCGATTGGCCGCGATAGAAAACGATTAATCGAACTTATCTGGTGTCCCGTACATTTTCAGAATCCGAGCGTCGCCGAGATTCCGAGGTGAGCTGAAAAGGAGAGCCGCGGTTGGCCGGGGTTTCGTGCAATCCGAATGGCTTTCTGATACGATGAAATCCTGGGCTGGCTCCTCTTTCATCCAGAAACATAACTTTGTTTTTGTTCATTCAACGCCATTTTCAGCCCTACTCCTACTTCTTTTCAAGCATGTCGAGGCATTCATGTTGCATGCTATTGCACGTTATCCTATTCAGTTTTTATTAGGTGGTTGCTTAGGCCGGTTTCGTAACTGCCGAGGTTTTTCAGAATTTCGTTCTTGAATTTGCTAACAGATGAAACACTTGTTACGCGTCTATTTAAAGGGAGGAGTTAAGGAGAAGCGAAGGAAAGTGAAGGTTAGAGTTAATTAAAGACATGTGCCGTTCAATTGGTGGAATAATTGACGAATCACCGGGATTGGTAGTTGTGAAATTGGCCATTTTATGTGCAACGACTTTGTACAGTTCAGAGACTCTTTTTGGGGAAAAGAATTCTGCGTCTGAGAAATTTCGTTATCCACTTTATCCAGTTTTCAGTTACAAAATTCTCTACTAATATCGCATACAGAATTCTATCTTATTTTAAAATTCGAAATACGCGCAAATCTACAGGTGTCCCATTTCCCCGAAAATCGTATACTGTTCTATTGTCACTTTTCACATTTCAGAATTTATTTTCCGGAAGAAAAATTTCGTTATCCACTTTGTCCAATTTTCAATTACAAAATTCTCTACTAACGTTGCACACAGAATTGTATCTTCCTATTTTCCCGAAAAATCGTAAACTTATTCAGAGGAGAAGCTCGAGTGGTTGATTCTCCACGAGGGTACATATCTGAATTCGTCGTCGTTGCATAATTCGACGGTGACGAATACAAGCGCGTCCCACTGGAAATCCGTATCCATCGCGTGATCCTGTCTTCGTTGCCTTTTTCTCTCTATCCATCTCTGTCTCTCTCTTTCTCTCTTCTGCTTCCCAAGGCAGGAAGAAAAATTCCGGAAAATGCCGGAGATAGCGGTGCGGTTGCATGTTTCGAAAGTGTTCTACCCCGGGAGAAAATTTCAAAACGCTTCCTACGTTTACTTAGTTTATCACGCGATTTACGCGAGAGGATTTTCTGGCCGAGCTGACAGACAACTTTATAGCCGTTCCACGAGTTTTTCTCCCCGGGAAACCGATAGCTTCTTGTAATGGAAATAGCTGTTCCAGGTTGTAAAGGCAAGGAGAAAACTTGATAACCCGCAAATTTCACGTCATTTTTATTTTCTTACTCTTTTTTTTTTCTCCTCCTTTCCAGCTGAATAGCTGCGTATTGCGATGATTGAATAACGGCCGAGTTTCGTCAATTTTTTTTTTTTTAATTTCACTTTATCGGGTATTAAATTCACCGGATAAGATCGACGAAGAGGAGAATTTTTAATATAGATTTTTTAGAGTTGTGCAGTATTGTGCGAGTTTTATTTTCTGCAAAATGCTGATCGGATGAAAAATATTTCTCTGTCTCTTTATGTTGCTTATTCCTCATTTTATTGCGCGCTAATTTCACCGAGCAAGCTTATCGACGAAAAAAATCTTCCGCATACAGTATTTTTGGCAAAATATTAATTTTGCTAAGCAAACCTATTAAAAAAAATACACTATAAATTTAAAGTGTCTTATTATATTTGTGACAAAAGATGTACTATAGATTTAAAGTACGTATAAAACTTCTACATCTATTTTTTTCTTTTTTCAAAAAATTCCAGTTTCTTTAAATCTTTTTTTATTGTTCACTTTATCAAAGAAACTTTCTACCAAACAGCGTTTCAAACGTAACATTGCATACGTTACATCGTTGATGGATTAGAATTTCGCAATAAGCTGATAAATTTCTTTTTCGATTTTCTTTCCGCTTGTCCGCCTTGTTCCCCCTTATTTTCGTTCGTCAACGGGGAAACGTAGTTTTTCCATCGAGTAATTGCCAGCAACGCGGCGCAGAGAAAACAGACAACTGATTCGCGATTTAATCAGTCGACATCGGTGAGATCGTTTTATTAATGCAGCAGCATCCCCCGTTAATTGGAAATCAATTAACCCACCTGTCGATTATTCGAATACCTATTAATTAAACTTCCGATCATCTGCATGCATAATAACCGTGGCATTATTGGCATAATTGGCCTATCATCGAATTGGTAAATCGCGTTAATCCTGTCGTCGCTGGATGACGTTAATTAGCGTCCTTATCGAACGTCTCCTTTCTTGGTCCCGCCTTTTTCTCCTTCTGTATATTTTAACCAACTTCAACTATTAGCATATTACGATGCACGTTGTATAATGCACAAGCACAGCTGCACGATTCCTTCGAAATAATATTAACAATCGTTTGTCAATTCAGATCGATCAATGGTGTTTCAGTAGTAATGAAAATTGGGCATAATTTACGTGATTTAGGTAGAGTGAATAGCATAGTTTTCGCTTAATGCTATTTTTTATTTACCGTTAATTTATACGTTTCAGTGGTCGTAGATTCTTCTAACAAGGAGACATACCAAAATGATGATCGTTTATTTTAACGAAATTTTGCTATGCGGTAAATCTCGAAAAAGAATATTCGACACGTATTTTTTTTTATATCGGCAACAGTCCACGCTAAAGAAGCGCGAACCGCCCTCAAAGTTGGAGATAGTAAATGTATTTGCTCTAATATCTCGAAAACTATTAAAAATAGAAAAACAGTGCAAACTTAGGAATTTCGTATTTTCCAGTAATAAATTTGAAAAATGGAAAATATATTTATTACCCCCATTTTCAAAGGTTTCTCACCCTTTCGATATGGACAATTGCCAATAAAAAAGTACGTATCGAATATTTTTTTAAAAGCTACAATATACCAAAGTTTCGATGATTATCACTTGGAGGTGTTCCCTTCTAACCACCACATCACCCAATCGACTCGTTATTCAACCTCAAGCTAACCCGTTAATCATCGTTACCATCGTCACTCTTATCGTTAAATACGAACGATTCATACTTTCTCCTATACGATCGTTCACCTGAATCTCAATAAAAGAAAAAGAAAGAACGCTCGTCGTTAGATTTTGCCGTGTTAAAACGGCGTATGTACACGCTTAAATCAGAGCCGTTCCCGTACGGTACAATCAGCGGGATCCAATCTGAAAGCTGGTGCTTACACTTGTTTCGCCATTTAGCCGCGGTACTATAGAAGAAGGATGCTGATGTGTCCCGGTAGACCACCCCAGCCGATACCATCCACCGGTTACGGGGTGAGTGAACGCGCGATTTCTTTGTTCGAAACAGAACCGTTCCTCGCATGTGAGAAAGAGAAACACACCGGTGTCCCCTGTATCCTAATTCGATTTTCAGTGGCAGATACCGAGCGGATGTTATCTGAGGTACACGAGAATCTTCTCTGGGGCGTATGCTGTTCAGAACTATCGGGGACAGGGGCAGAACGGTTATCAAGAGGCGAGAGCGGCTTATCACGAAGTTCATCCCATTCACGGGAGCCAAGGTCAATCTCAACTACCCGCTTCGTATCCCCTCGGAGACTGTAAGTTTCTACACGTTTCTCTACCAGCTTCTCGTTTCTAATATCACTCGCGCCTTGTTGCCTGGGCTGTTCGCAGTATCAAGCCGTGATTGCGTGCAATTTCGCTGCGAATGTTTTTTTTTTGTTTTTGTGTGTGTTTTGGGAGTTCAGCTTTTGCACGATTTTTAGTTTACTTTTTAGGATAGCTTCGTTGCTTTTCGAGTGTGTTGGGAAATTTGAATTTTGCGATGTTTCTTGTTCGTTTGGACTTGAAAATCAATATTGCGATGTAATTTTTGAGAAAGTAAAGAGAGAAATAATTTGGAATCAAATGAAATTCTTTGCTTCACCAATATCGTCAGTTAAATGACACGAGCAATTTTTTGAATGGATAAACGGAGAATATTTAATTATGTATAGCCATATACGTGAAATCATAGCAATCTAAATAATCGTTATCAATATGCTAAAAAGAAAGGTCAATTTGTTTACTTCATCGCACCAAATTTTTTCAATGGAAAGGCGGAGAATATAAGTACGTACGCGAAATCATAATAATTTATCTAAATAATTATTAGCAGCAATTGTTATCAATATACTAGAAAAGAATAGCTAACTTCTAATAACTCTCGAAAAATCTCAATTATTTTTCTACGTGTACATCATCTCATTTGGAAGTTTCTAGGACGAAAAGATTAATAATAAATCCGGCGGTCACTTTTTCACCGGAAATAATCGCCGCGTGAAATTTTCCATTCGACTGTTTCGAATCGCGTACTCGTGCGTACATTTCGCATAGGAGTAAACGAATTTAACTAATTTCGTCCGATTAAGAAAACGGATCGACACGATATTCTCCAAGCTGTTTCTCCTCGTTGGAAAAACCAAAAGCGTGTACGATCGATTAATTTTGAAAATTTCTCGTCCACGTGAAAAACACACCGTCCCGCGGGAAATAATAGGAAGGTTGACTTTTAAGGGAATTTTTCCCTCACGATTGTTATCGCGGACATATTTTAGCCGCGAGGGCGAAACAAAGTGGCGGACGGAACGACGCCATTTGTGGTCGTAGCATGCACGATGGTGGAAAAATTAGTATCATTCGCGATTTACGCGACAAAGTGGCGACTCGTACGAGCCTTCGGGGAACACTACTGGCTGTCGCAGAGAAATAGCGTCGTTTTTGTTCGAGAGATCAAGAGGACACGTTCTACATGGTCGTTTATTGTCATTTTACTACGAAATTGTTTCGTCTATTGTTACTTCATTAATGGCCGTCGTTTAAAGTAAACGCAAAGTGCATTTGGATTACTTCGAATTATACGGAGCGAGGCAAGAAGCGTATTTCTTTAAGTTAGCAAATCACACTTATTCGGAAAATGTGCGAATTATTTTGCAGACCAAATGGAACGCAAAAATAATTTTTAAGAAGCTTATTCCTTTAAGTTAGCGAATTAAATTTATTCGTGAAATGTGCGAATTATTTTGCAGACCAAATGGAACGCAAAAATAATTTTTAAGAAGCTTATTCCTTTAAGTTAGCGAATTAAATTTAATCGGAAAATGTGCGAATTATTTTGCAGACCAAATGGAACGCAAAAATAATTTTTAAGAAGCTTATTCCTTTAAGTTAGCGAATTAAATTTATTCGTAAAATGTGCGAATTATTTTGCAGACCAAATGGAACGCAAAAATAATTTTGGAAAAGCTTATTTCTTTAAGTTAGCGAATTAAATTTATTCGTGAAATGTGCGAATTATTTTGCAGACTAAATGGAACATAAAAATAATTTTTAAGAAGCTTATTCCTTTAAGTTAGCGAATTAAATTTATTCGTGAAATGTGCGAATTATTTTGCAGACCAAATGGAACGCAAAAATAATTTTGAAGAAGCTTATTTCTTTAAGTTAGCGAATCACATTTATTCGGAAAATGTGCGAATTATTTTGCAGACCAAATGGAACGTAAAAATAATTTTGGAAAAGCATATTTCTTTAAGTTAGCGAATTAAATTTATTCGTGAAATGTGCGAATTATTTTGCAGACTAAATGGAACGCAAAAATAATTTTGAAGAAGCTTATTCCTTTAAGTTAGCGAATCACATTTATTCGGAAAATGTGCGAATTATTTTGCAGACCAAATGGAACGCAAAAATAATTTTGGAAAAGCTTATTTCTTTAAGTTAGCGAATTAAATTTATTCGTGAAATGTGCGAATTATTTTGCAGACTAAATGGAACGCAAAAATAATTTTGAAGAAGCTTATTCCTTTAAGTTAGCGAATCACATTTATTCGGAAAATGTGCGAATTATTTTGCAGACCAAATGGAACGCAAAAATAATTTTGGAAAAGCTTATTTCTTTAAGTTAGCGAATTAAATTTATTCGTGAAATGTGCGAATTATTTTGCAGACTAAATGGAACGCAAAAATAATTTTGAAGAAGCTTATTCCTTTAAGTTAGCGAATCACATTTATTCGGAAAATGTGCGAATTATTTTGCAGACCAAATGGAACGCAAAAATAATTTTGGAAAAGCTTATTTCTTTAAGTTAGCGAATTAAATTTATTCGTGAAATGTGCGAATTATTTTGCAGACTAAATGGAACGCAAAAATAATTTTGAAGAAGCTTATTCCTTTAAGTTAGCGAATCACATTTATTCGGAAAATGTGCGAATTATTTTGCAGACCAAATGGAACGCAAAAATAATTTTGGAAAAGCTTATTTCTTTAAGTTAGCGAATTAAATTTATTCGTGAAATGTGCGAATTATTTTGCAGACTAAATGGAACGCAAAAATAATTTTGAAGAAGCTTATTCCTTTAAGTTAGCGAATCACATTTATTCGGAAAATGTGCGAATTATTTTGCAGACCAAATGGAACGCAAAAATAATTTTGGAAAAGCTTATTTCTTTAAGTTAGCGAATTAAATTTATTCGTGAAATGTGCGAATTACTTTACAGATCAAACGGAACGATATTAAATTTATAAATTTTATTGTGAAAGATTTATGTAGTACTTATCTTGTATTTGTATTTTTGAATACTTTTTAGACTTTAACCATTTCCATAACTCGGTAAGTAATAACTTCAGCGAAAATTGTTTTAGATGAATGTTGTAATATGGTGTTCGCATGATTTTTTCTTATCATTCCATCTTCCAAAATTTCGAGGTAATTTTCAATTTTTTAAGAGAAAATTAAATTTCTACTTTCATAACGATACTTACGGATAATATTGAAATAAATTCAGCGATGTGTATTGAAATAACCGTTGAACGGCTGTTGAAGAAATGCAGCGAAATTTAACTGATTCAGTTACATATCTGGTAGCGCCAGTTAAATTTCGATGTGAAAAATACGAATGGAATAAATTGGAATTATGCGGCCCCTTTGGAACCGTGCAACATGCTTCTGAACCAATTTTCGCTAAAGTCGTTACTTACAGAGTTATCGAAGTGGTTACAGTTGCTGCTTCACTCTTTGTAATGAGAAATATATTACAGCACAGAATTTGAAAAATAATCGAAAATAAAAGATAAATACTACATAAATTTCTCGCAATAAAAATCCATAAATTTAGCATCGTTCCATTTGATCTGCAAAATTATTCATACTTTTTATCGATGAATTTCAATCATTAACCTAAACAAATATGCTTCTTCAAAATTATTTTTACGCTCCATTTGATCTACAAAATTATTCGTACATTTCGCGAATAAATTTTATTCGTTAAACTTGAAGAATTACGCCTCTGAGACGCCATTTTTACGTTCCATTTGATCCGCAAAATTTATTTATACATTTCACTCTTCTTCAAACGTTGTTCTTAATTTCTCCATATTTTAATTAAAATGAAAGAGAAAAAGTGTGACATTTATCATATATTGTCAACAATCACAATAGAAGAAAATCTCGTAATATCGACCTGTTGCAATCTTCGTTAATTCCCTCGGAATATCCGAGAAATGAGTTAAACGAGACTGTTCATAAACGTCTCTGTCGTTAATAAAATAAGCTATCGTACAATCCCTGCACGGATATACCATTGAAACTCTCTTTAACTTGCAAACGTGTCTCTCCGGGGATACAGGTCACAAAGCTCCCATTGGAATTTCAAATGAGGCATCGCTCATTGTATCACGGGAGATTCGATGAGCCGACAATTCCGACAATTTTTTTTCTCCACCTGAATATTTCTCTCTTTAACGAACGCAAACCATTTCCTCGCCCGCCTTTCTTTCCCTCCCTCACTCTCTCTCTCTCTGCTTCCTTCTCCATTTTCTTTCTCGTGTCGCGTTTAAAATCAGTTTCAGGGCTGATTTGATCGGGTACTGAAATCGTTGGAGGGGAAATGATTTTCTCCCGTTTTAATGTAGTTTTCACAAACTCGACGACGATTCTGTCTAGCTATTCGTCGTCGAACCCTCTTCACTCCTCCTACAAGTTGGTGACCACCATCTTGGCCCAGTTCGGGATTGAAAAATGCAGATAGTTGAAGCGTGCTCTTGGGACGAGCTCCGCTTGACGATGCAAAAATGCGTTCCTTTGCAACGGAGCTGCTTTCAATTCTCGATCTTCAGCAAAAACCATTCGTCTCCGACGGTCCCCGGTACCTCCCTGTCCCTATCGATCCACTTTTTCTGCGTTTCATTTGGTAATATTTCTTCGCGACTTTGGAACGCTGTTCTTTGGAAACATTTTTTTTTCTTCAAAAGTGTTCGGTCCCGAGCACCGCGACGCAGGGACCGGCAGGACGAGGGCGTAGCCGAGCCGCATGGCATCGGCGGAACCGTTTTACAATGTCGCGATAAGGCCTTCGACAAAGGGATCCCGCGAGGAACCGAAGCGGGACCGCGGTTGCCGAGGCGAGGAGGGCTCGAGTGTTTCTTCGCTCGAGGGGACTCGTGTTGGGTCCTGCGCGAAGCGGGACCGCGGTTGCCGAGGCGAGAGGGCTCGAGTGTTTCTTCGCTCGAGGGGACTCGTGTTGGGTCCTGTGTCGCATGGGCCGCCAAAAGCGACG